AGCAGGGCTGGGCTGTCTCATTGCAGCAGGAAGAACATCACAAGAGACAAAACAGGTCTGGGCTGCAGCACTGGATTGTTAACTAAAAACACTCCAGTGTGCACTTTCCTGCATGGCTTTGTGATCCTGCTGCCAGATTTGTTCCTGCATCTCATCTCTAACCTGAAGAAACCTGCACAGAAACCAGCGCAGCCCGCACAGCCCTTAGGATACCGTTGCTGTAGTCACCTCAGGGATTGCCAACATCTGGCTGCTATGCAAATGAAGTCATTTGCAAGCGTTCTTAATTCTCATCAGCCCTCCTCAAAGCAGGGATAGAGGGTTGCAAGGGTCAGCAACTGGCAAGGCACAAGAGAGCCAGAAAGTGGATGTAAAGGACATCCCAACAGCTGGATACACCTCCCCTCCTAACACTGAGCTCAGCACAGATGTTGCAGCAGTACCTGCATGAGTGATGTTTAGGAGTTACAGAAGGAAACCTTTCCTAATACCTCCTCCATATATTGCATCGTCAGAGTGTGCAGCTTCAGGCTTTTGGAGGTGGAGATGCTCTGAGCAAAAGCATCCTTGCTCCCAGCAGTAGCAAAGGGTGAAACAGTGACTCTGCCCTCCTAAATGCATCTCTGATACCTCTTGTGTTATTCCCAGATTCTCAGCTTGAATGAGGCCTCAGGTTCACATTGCATGTCTGTTGGTATTCACTGATAGAAAACCTTCTCTAAATATACAACTGTACCAGCATTTTAGCTAGATGTATTGTCTGCAGAGCCCATCGTCTCACTGTTCACCTCTTTTTTTCAAGTCATTTAGTAGCCGTGTTCCGTAGCCCAGATCCTAGTGCAGACTCCTGCAGGCTTCAACATTGACCTTTTCTTATTTAAAGTCCTATGCTTTTTTTTTTTTTTTTTCCCCAGTCTTTGATCTCATATTTATCCATGCTTGATTTTCCCTTTTATCTTCCTGCTGAGTTTTAAGATCTTTTCAGAGAGGCTTTGTAAAAAGGCCTTGGAAACTCAAGCAAATCACAATGACCAGGTCACACTTCTGCACATACTGGATGACCCCCTCAAAAAAAAAAAAAACCTCCACTATGTTTACAAGGCAGGACCTGCCTTCAAATGCTGAAACTATGCCTATTTGATTGAAAAAGCTGTATTTATCCAGGAGGTTATGCTGAGCCTTGTTACAGCTCCACTGGTGTGGCTGGCATAGCCACAGCTGCAGCCCTGTGACCTGACAGGCTCTTAGGCAGGGCTTTTGCTGCTGCGACAGATGGAGGATTTAGTAATAGCTTTGATTTTTTAACTGGTGACTCATCTGATCCCTCGTGGGATGGCTCAGTTATATTTTATCCACTAGAGTTTATATTATACTTTTTAGTGCAGACACACCTGCAGCTTTTTGAATGATGTTTCCTTACCCTCAGCTCACTCTGCTGTTATCAGTGCCTTTTCAAGCCTTTCTGTGTTAGTGGCATCTCTGCCATTGCCTCCCCAGCGTGATCAATCAGTTCAGCCATCTCCATCCACCTGTGAAAACTTAATACACCCAGCTGTTCCTTTGAGTTTCTTTCTGCCAGGTTAAGGTTTATAAAGAGCCTACCACATCAGCATCTTTCTTTAAAGTAAGGAAGAAAATAATTTCCACTCTTTTCTCTGAATTGACTTGAGTGAGGTTCATGAGGTTGTCTTATGAGTCTGGATGACCCAACTGGCTTCTCCAAGCAAGTAGCAAGAGGCACTATTTGGTTGCTCAAAATGCTGCGATCAAACACTAGTAGAGAGACTCACGGAATCACAGAAGTGTTACAATCACCTAGTCCAACTTCCAGCCCATCCCCACCATGCCCACTAACCACATCCCTCAGTGCCACATCCACATGGTTCAGGAACACCTTCAGGAATGGTGACTCTACCTCCTCCCTGAGCAGCCTGTGCCACTGTAGCACTGCTCTAAGAAGAAATTTCTCCTCATCCTCTAAGCTTTTTTGCTTCTTGGGATGATGCCATCTTTAGTAAGCGTTTTTTAAAACTGCACGTTTGCACACCAAGAGGTCATTTGATCTCGCGCCGTCTTTATGGCTTCTGCTCATGTTTTTGGGTGTATCTGCAGATGTGCGGAAGTATATTCTCTCTCAGATTTCCTTTCCTCCCTTCCATGTTCTCATCAGGAGATATTAGGAAACAGGACAAACCCACCTGAGTCAAGAGCTGCTGACCATCTTTATTCTCTCTTTAAACTGTTTCAGAGACATTGGGCAGCAGAGTGCACAGAATGCATCTGAACCAGGAGCCTGGGAGAAGTGCTAACTGTATTAATAAAGGAAGTGTATCTTTGAAACTCTATCTTCAAATGTCACGCTGCAGTTGCTCCAAACAGCTTCAAAATAAACACTTCTGCCCTACATCCCTCCTGCTGGAGAGAATGAGAGCAGAAAGATCGGTCTCTTCTGCCAAAACTCACTGGAAGGAAGAAAGCACAAGCAATTAAACATCCTTCCTTCCCCTTGATTGTCATCTGCTCCCACAAAATGCATTCAGGGCAGATTTTGCATGGGTCTGGCTTCTGCCCATTTTGAGAGGATGTGGCTAGATGGGGAAAGGGTGGAGCAGAGGGACCATTTTTGGCTAGGACATTTGTGATACACCAGCTGTACCTCTTTCTCCCTCCAGTCCCAGGTCCTCATGGGTCGAGAATGAGGGGACTGCAACAGCAGAGGGATTTGGATGAAAACATACAGCAGACAACACTGCTCAGTGAGGGTCCCACCAGTCTTGAGGTCCATGGTAGCTGAGATTCACTCACAGCCCCGGGACTTTTCTGGTGACTCAGCAGATGTCCTCACATCTGGACAGCTGGGATAATGGTGATGAAAGCCTTTTACTACCTAGGAGGGACTCAGGGAAGATGCTCCTCTCTGATCCTTCTCCCAGATGGTCTCCTCTCTTGGCTGGGGAGGTCACCGTACTATCAGTGGGAGAAAAAAGCATTACTTACATCAAAGGGATGCTTGTGAGTGTGTGAGCAGGGACAAAGACAGACCACAGCACGCTGCAGTATGCTCCCTAGGAAATAATGCTTCTTTTTCTAATGAACATTTATTTTTAAAAATCAAGTTGACATTTTAGCAGTCTTTCAGTATCTACAGAGGGACTGTAAGAAAGAAGGGAATAGAGTTCACAGCATGGACTGCTGTGACAGGACAAGAAGAAATGATTTCAAACTAAAAGAGGGGAGATTTAGGCTGGGCATAAGGAAGATGAGGGTGATGAGGCACTGGAGCAGGTTAGACCAGAGAGGTGATGGATGCCTTGTCCCTGGAGACATCCAAGGTCAGGCAAGAGGGCTTTGAGCATCCTGATTGAGCTGTAGGTGTCCCTGCTCATTGCAGGGGAGCTGGACCAGGCGGTGTTTAAAGGTCTCTTCCAACTCAAACTGTTCTATGATTCTATGATTATTATCTGTAACTCTTTGTGGAAAGTATTTTCTGGATATGCATCTTGTTATTGGGATGGGTTATGGAGAAGTGTTCTCCTTGTACAAAAGAAATACCACATCTGTCAGCTGCAAACCCTCGCCAAAGCTGATGGGCTGCAATTCAAGCACGTGTTTGCTGAAACAAAGGGAAAGGTTGAAGCACAATTTCCCTTGGTGTCAAAATTCACCTTCCTGTTAACATGTAATCTGTACAAAGTGTAACTGACAAAGATTGCTTATTTAAGAACCTTCAAAACAATGCTTTCTCTTTCCAAGTCTGTGGCAGGTTGAAGTAGCTCTTCAATGCTATCAGTTTTTTAAGTTAGTGCTCAGTGTCATGCAAGTCCACTCTGATAAAACACTTGCCATACTGTTTCACAGTCATTTTAAGATGGTCCAAAACTAAGCTCACACAAAAATGAACAGCCTCAGCATTCTCTCTCTGCCTGCAGCTCCACAGTCCTCTCTTTTTTAGGTCAGCTTCAGCAGTCAAGTGTCTGTGCAGCTCGCAGTTCCTCTTCAGTGAGCAGGAGTGTCACTCTATCCCCATCACTCTGACCACTTTATCCAGGCCACATCCTTTTGTAGGCACAGCTGTCAGGCAAGAGCAGGCAGCAGAGGAGGGGATCCGAGTGACCTTTCCTTCTGGTCATCAACTGCTGGGCAGGCACCTTAGGGAAAGAACAGTGCCATAAGAAATGGCAAAACCACCAGAAGATCATCCCTTTTGAAGGTCTGTGCATGGCTTTGTCTACTCAGAAGGGGTAAGAATGGAAATCCAGAGCGACCATCTTGACTCAGAGCCCAAAGGAAAAGCATAGAGCTGTGTCAGGGGAGGGTCAGGTTGGATATCAGGAAAAAGTTCTTCACCAAAGGGTGGTAGGCATGGAACAGGCTGCCCAGGGTGGTGGGCATGGCCCCAAGCTTCCAGAGCTCAAGAATCATCTGGACAATGCTCTCAGACATTGGATCTCATTTTTGTGTGATCCTGTATGGAGCCAGGAGTTGGACTCAATGATTCTTTAAACTCAAAAAATTCTGCAATTCTATGATTCTTTGATTTGCGATGGAGCTGCTTTCCTTTTATGGGCTGGAGCTCTGCTCCAGCTTGCAAGCAGCACTGCTGCTTTGCAGCCAATTGCAAGCATGGTTGTCCCAAAAAGCCATGATTTTGAAAGTACACTGGCCTTGAATGAAGAAGCTGGCTGGTTAATGCTCTAGATATGGGAGGGGAGAAGCTTCAGTCGTCAAGTAATTGGTGGCTCGAGCAGAGTAAAGTCAGTTGCTATTTCAGGGAAAGGAAAGGCAACTGCTCCCTGGAGGGAATGACTGCACTAGCTCAGAGCCAGGAATAGGCTGAGATTTAATTTTTTTTTTTTTTTTTTTCCCCTAGACTTCAGGAAAAGCGAACACACAATGTTCATTCGCAGGGATCGTTTCCTGAGCATGATGTGTGCTTGCTGTCCCGCAGGTCACTTTCCAGTGTGTCACATCCTTCTGCACAAGGGAGAGCAGGAAATGGCAAACTCCCAGTATGAGGCAAAGCATTCCCACTGCAGCAATTGGTCCACGGGAGCTATAAATTGGTCTCCTCCAGAAACAGACCAAAATTTGTCTGTGGGGAGGTCAGCCAGAAACTAAAGGTAAGTTTCTCTTTTGAATCTGCCTGAGTACTGCATTAGGAAAGCATTTAGAGTTTAGTTACAGACTGGGACTAATGTATACATTATTTCATAATGTTTAAAAAAACTATTTCTTACTATTTAATAATTTACTAACTTAAATAGTAATTAATTAATTTACTAACTTAAATAGTAATTAATTACTATTTATTAACAAACAGAATTTGTTATTTACTATTGATAGTAATTTAATTAAAAAGCTATTGTTGGGGGATTTTTCTCTAAGAGCGGGAGATGGCTTTGTCTTCCTTTTTGCTGGCATAAATCTGTGCACTCCAAAGACACGCATCACTGTAAGGTTGATGTTATATATTAAATGACTGTTCTACTAACTGTGCAGTGAGATGGCTGCTGGCATTACCAGCAATTGTGGACAATTACCATTGTCCACAAGAAAATCTGCAGAACAAGATGTTAAGAAGGAATCAATATATTTAATAATCTGTTGCTAAGTCATTGATGATGTGCTCATTGCTCATTTTGACACCAGTACCTATTAGGCTTAGTTTTAGTCCTTGTGCCTTCAGCTCAATTTCTGAGTACAGAGTAAAAAATAAGAGGACACTGCCTCCAGCTAAGAACAGCACACTGTACTGAATGGCTCAAATAGCCCAGTGATGAGAAAGGCCTGAGAGAAACTGGAATGATTGTTCTGATTATGGGCAGAGGAAGCCCTAAAGGATTCTGTCTGAAATGGATTAGTAAAAGCAGAAAAGAAGAATGACAGCAAGAATTATTTATTTACACTCTTTAGGGTGGAAAGACTCTCAATGGTAGATGGCTTTTTTCTTCTGGAAGACAAGGAGTCTGCAGAATGAAAGCCCTGAGGAACTAAACCATACAGTGTGCCCAGTGTGAGGGATCAGGCCACTCTGGTTCATATAGTAATGAGGAATTAGAAAACACGCCTGCAGTAATTAATATTTACACTTATCTGGGCCTGGGACAAAATCTTTCTACTATGGAGTCTTATTGTGGTTATGAGGGCAATATGGAATGTGACCAGCTTCTTAGATCCATGGCTACATCTTGTTAAACACAGAGGAAATGCAGCCTCGTATATGGTGCAGTGGTGTGGAGAGCACTAGCACTGCTGTCATCAGAAAGCTGGTGATGCTGCGTCCCTCCTCTTGCTTCTTATGCCTCAGTTGCCATCCAGGTAAAACAGGAATAAAGATGCTGTCTTCCTTTATAAAGAACTTTGTAACCTTAGAGCAATTTGAAAATGCTCATTGGAACATTCCCTTCCACCGTGGTGAAAAAGTACATAGAGATAAGAGAGATCACACAGCTCTGAAACCCTGAGGATTCACCATCTAGAAGGCAGACATTACCATAGCCAGCACTGTGCTCCCCAGTAGTCCCCCAGAAGTGTGTACACAGAAAAGGGGCTTGCTATTCTGATGTGCCCTTCATGGAGTTCTTAAACATAGTCCATGGACCTCTTAACACATGGTTCATGGGCCTCCCACCACTGAGGATTCACACCCATAGGCTGGACTTAGTACTGCAAAACAATGATTCCCATCTTTGTTTGGATCCTGACGCCAGGTTACAATAAGAAAGAAGTGGTGCAGGTCCTTGAGTTATTTAAGCATAAAGAGAGGAAGGATGTTCACAATTGCCGTCTGAGGCATTTTCAGCTCGTAGATGGAAAAACTAGACCTTGACTCCCCTCAGCAGCTTCCCTCTGTCCTCCTTTAGTGGGAAAGGACCCCTAAATAGCAACCTAGGATCGGTGGTTTTTATCTCCTCAAAGTCTGGACTTTCCTGTGAAATATGCTCTTGAATATTATAAAACCTCTGAATCCCATCGGGAGGACACCACCATGTAGTTCTGGCAGCATTACTGCACTGGGTGCTGAGTCACTTAACCTTAATGGAATTTATGTCCCCTGGATTGGAAGAAACATTTCATGTTTTCACAGAAGAACAACAGTAGCCCTGACCCCAGCCCTTAAGACCATAGAATCGTAGAATGACCCGAGTTGGAAGGCATCCATAAGGATCATCGAGTTCAACTCCTATATAGATATTTTAGTGTCCCCAAGGATGACAGAAAACTCCAAAGTCAGAATAGAGTAACTAAGCATATGTGTGTGTACGTGTGTGTGTGTGCGCATGTGTACGTGAGCATGTGCATGCAGACAGCAAACCTTCCAAGCAGTAGAGCAAAGAGAGAAAATTGGCTGGATGCCATCCTTGGGATGGAGGTCAAGGTTGAGCAAGTCTTGTGCTTTTTATATAAATCCCAAGACATCTTCTTCTTTTTCTAGGCAGAGGCCATGGAGAGGAATGGTGCTGCCCGTCCCCAGGTGCCAGACCCCACGCACCACTTCCACAGAGCGCTGCTGGATCAGCGACGGAGGCTGCGAGGTCAGATTGCTCACCTTCACAAGGCAGCTCGCAAAATCAACAAGCTTCGCAAAAGATCCCTGATTGCCAACATCAGTGGGAGCTCACTGACAGCCGTGGGAGCAGTCACGGCCATCGTGGGATTGTCTCTAAGCCCAGCTACACTGGGAGCCTCCCTCCTGGCATCTGCAGTGGGTTTGGGCTTAGCCACTGCTGGAGGAGCTGTCAGCATCACCTCCGATCTCTCTGCCGTGCTCTGCAATTCCCGGGAGGTGAAGAAGGTGCAGGAAATTGCAATGACTTGTCGGAAACAGATGAGGGAAATCCTCAGCTGCCTGGAATTCCTCCGCCGTGTGCAGGGCCCAGGGGACCCCAAGCTTCTCCAGTCAGAGAAGAGAGCATCCATCTCCCTGTATAACTCTGTCTGCTTCATGGTCTTCTGTGGCTCCCACAGCTTCCTTGTTCCAGAATATACAAAAGAGGTCACAAAAGTGAGCCAGGCCATGCTGAAGGCCAAAATCCAGAAGCTGGCTGCCAACCTTGAGATCTGCACCAGAGCAATGGACGAAGTCTGTGAACTCCTTGAGTCCAGGACAGAGCTTTCCCCACAAATGAGGAAACTCAACTTGGGTGCTAGAACCACCGCTGAGACCCCAAGACCATCCAGTTGAAACAGCAATTGCCCTGTAATGAAACCAGGCTTGAAAACACTACGTAACTGTCACCATTGGCACTGCTACCTGTTGCTGTTGTAATATTGGTGGTGCTCATCCACATAGATGCACACGTCTCTTGTGCCTTATTTATATTTGAACACAAACCTCTCCCTGATATCAAGACAGAGTTACACATACACACACACACACACACAGATACACCCCACTGCCTCACAGCAGCCCCCTGGCTCAGGGTATGGACATGAGGACTACTGGGTACATGGCAGCAGATCCCAGAGCCAGAACACAGGGGTAGGTGGCCATTCCTCAATTCCATGTTTCCTCATCCATCTCCATGACTCTGCTTCCTCATGTAGCAGAAAGAAGTAGGTCAGCAGAGTGATGAAATCCCTGCAGTCTTTGGGCTGACAGACCCTGGTCTGTGGATAACTCATGAATCTATGAATGCTGAAGGGGCTGTGATACCCTCAAAGAGCCAGCAGCCACCAACTTCCGGTAGAGTACAGCCCTATTTCCAAAGGTACATCTGGGAAGGCTGTTGAAAGGAGCAGCCCCAGATATGACAGACTGTGTGGATGGCTCAGTCATCCCAGGGTAAAGCAGAAGAGCCAGAAACTGTTATCCTTTATAAAGAAACCTCTCCAAGATAAGAACTGTGATGTTTGTGTTCTATTTATTTACGTGAGATGTTTTTAAAGTTTTGATATTGTATTTTAAAGTTTTGATATTTTATTTAAGTATTTTGTTTTCCTTTTAAAAAGAGGTCTCTGCTCCAAGGGAGTGCAGCTGTTCTTAGAGGCAAAGCAAGTCTGTGGCAAGTGAGAGCAAGTTACAAGTTCTTTGGCTGTGAGGGTAAGTCTCTGTAGGAAAGGGAAAGATGAATGCTGATAGTTATAAGACAGATGAACTGTGGTTAATCACTGACAGATCTTAGAAACCAAAACAGGGAGATGGGTCAATGACCCTGGGACCAGAGCCTGCCTCAGGAGACTCTCTGGGGGAAGAGTCAGTGTACCTCTTGGAGCATGGAGGGAAGAATATGCTGGTGTTATGCTCTGAGCTGGAGACCGGCTGAGAGAAGAGCACACCTGAGAGGTGGTAGTGCTGCTCTCTGTGCAGTCAAACAGCCTGTGAGACCCACCCCAGTTGTCTGGGGAGGGAGGAGGCAGCACGCACAGAGCTACACATATGCTTAGCAATGCTTCCCAGGGAAGGCTTCACATCAGCAATATATATACACTGGTACTAATAGTCAACAAAGGTGAAGAAAAGGAGGATGATTCAGGGGTCAGAGCACTGAGGAAGCAGGAGGAATGACTTGGACTCAATTTCAAGTGACTGTCCTGCTAAGGATGTCCTTTGTGATTTTCAGCACTTCAGTGCCTCAGTTCTCCATGCAAAAATGGGAATAGTAGCACTTCTCTACCTCACAAGGATGTTTCTGGGACAAATATTCTGAAGTGCTCAGGTGCTGTGGTGGTGGAGATCATGTCAGTACCTGGAAGAGATAGAAAGAAGAACCCCCAAAATCTAGCTTGAGACAACCAGAGAACTTAATGCAGGGACAATTCCAGCCCCATGAGTAGAATCCAAATAGTGAGGGGAACTTCGCTTGGGGTTTGTGAATCAAAATGATGAAAAAGATGATTTGTAATTCTATCACACCGAATAAACTCTTGGGAAGGGCTATACTCCAATTCACAAAGCTCAACTCCTTCTCAAGCTGTCTCTCCCTCTCACAACTTCAACATGTGTTTTGATGTGTAAAACAAAAGCTTTTGTCCCTCAGAATGTGACTGAGTTGTCTGTAATGCCCATGCTTCTTTGCTGTAAGGGGAAAGTACACTGCTAGTTCAATTAAATGAATATGAAGTACTTTTGTGTTAGTGTCTCTTTGTACACCTGCATGTGATCACATTCCTGCCCTTGCCTCAACCACTCAATTTCAACAATTTCAACTGTGTGTATGAGTGTATATATTTGTGTCTTTGTGAGTGCACATCCTAGTGTGCATGCTGGCCTCTGACACACAAACATCTCAGGGTGTATATATGCAAGTACATGTGTGGTTTTGGGGTGTGAACTGCATGCTATGCAAAGGCAGGCCTAGTGCAACATTTTTCTTAGTGCTCCAACATCTCATGAGCCAGCTCCACAAGGATGGTTATGACTTCACCATTCTTTCAAGAAAGATGTTTTCATCACAGACTATTTCTCCTACCTTCTCAATTTTCTGGCAATGTCACTTTTGTCTGTGTACCACTATACAGGGAACAACACAGAAACAACAACACAGCTCTGAATGAGCTGATCCGAATGAAGAATATGCAGTGGACAGCTCATTGCTTCATGAGGGCTGGTTTGCTTTGCTCAGCACAGCCCTGCACTGTTTCAGCAGCTAAGGACAAATGAGAGACACTTTTACTTCCATACCACCTACATGACCAAAAAATCCTGCTTCTGTTCTGTTTTTTTCCTAGGTTAATCCTTCACTTGAGGTCAGGATATGTGTTGTTGTGCAGATGTGAGAGTGTGACAGAACCTAAGGTACCATACTTTGCTGGACAGATCTCATTCCCTTTCCACTTAATGGCTTGATTTCAATATAGAATTAAAAGCAGCATCTAGGGGAAGTGCCTTACATAAGCAGCTTTTTCACAGTAGTTATTTACTCTTCAAATTCACAGATGTGTTGCTTGAACCCTTCCTTCAGTAGCTGGGCTTGGAGAAGTGTGTGTGTTGATCATTAGCCTGGGCTGGCAGTTATGTTGTTGACACTCTTACTCTCCTTTTATTGAAAATGCTGCAGGGAAGAATGATCCAGTGATGAAGCAGTAATACAATAACCATCTTAATGCAAACTCCCATAGTATGAAAGCATAATAGAAGTTATTTATAGCAAAGGAGTCTGAACAGAGTCAGGGTATGAGGATATGCCAATAGCCTCTCACTAGGCATCCTGATGAGTAGATTGAATTATTTATCAACTGTGATCTATTACATACATTGTCCATCTTGTGTTAGCATGCATCACTCATGAAATAGAATCACAGAACCATAGAATCATTAAGGTTGAAAAAGAGCACTAAGAATATCCTGTCCAACCATTAGTGCAGCCTCACCATACCAAATAATCATGTCCTTAATGCCACATCCACACGTTTCTTGAACACCTCCAGAGATGGTTACCCCAAAGCTGCCTGGGCAGTCTGTTCCAATGCACCACCACTCCTTCAGAGAAGAAATTTTTCCTAATACACAACCTGAACCTCCCCTGGTGCAACTTGAGGCCATTCTCTCTGTTACTTGGAAGAAGAAGCTGACCCCCATCTCTCCTCATCCTCCTTTCTGGTCACTGTAGGGAGCAATAAAGCCTCCCCTGAACACCTCTTCTCCAAACTGAAAAATCCCAGTCCCCTCAGCCACTCCAGACCCCTCGCAGCTCTGTTACCCTTCTCTGGTTACACTCAGGGCTTCAATGTCATTCTTGTAGTGATGGGCCCAAAAATGAGCACAATACCTGAGATGCGACCTCACCACTGCTGAGTACAGAGGGAATAGTTGCTATTACATCTGAATTAAAACTTGCCCATGCATGTATGTGCCCACACTGCACTTCCTACAGAAGAATAAGCTTTTAACATGCAGTAAGGTTAGGAATGTGCTTGTTCAAAGGCCAAGACTGAAATCCCTGCAGTGAAAATGTTGAAGTCCAGTGTAACTTATGGTGCCCTGTTTTGAGAAGCACAAAAAGAGAATCATCATTCAGAAGCGATACATTTTTTATCACACACAGGGATTTTCTTGAGAGTTTAGGACAGTCAGAAACTTTCATTCAAAGCACATTTACTAACAAAATAGAATTACCCAAACTGAAATGTATCAGAATAGATGGTGAAGTGATCCCCCTGCCCCCACCAGATCAGCACTTACCGTATGATCTGAGAAGCAAGCTCAACAAAGAGTGAGCACCTTCCTGTCACATCCCTGACTCCATTTCCTGAGGCATCTCACAGAAAGGGCTCATGTCTTATGTACTGGCCAGGCCTAACCTTTAGCACTAAAGATGAACAGCTCATGGTTCAAACTGTTATAGTTTTTTAGCTGTGTGGTCATAGCTAGCGTCTACACTGAGTGTTTTCTTTTTTTTTTGTTTGTTTGTTTGCTTTTAAATCACTGCTCCTGAGCACAGTGGGATGCAGCAAGTTCATTTCCACTGCTGCCCAGTGAATTGTTCCAGGTTTCCTTTCCTTTCCCTGTCATGCAGAGAGTTTGTTCGGATTTCCTCTAACTTTCCTCATTGTTCTGGGAGCAGAGGAAATCGCACACTAGGAATCCAGTGACAGATGCTCATGAACGTCAGCATTTTCATTGTGGGCACACCCAGTTTGGCTTCCCGAGTGGCAAGAGAGATGGAGGTCTGCTCACAAATGCTGTCACAAGTTCTGTTCTGTCATCAGCTCTGCTGTCTCTTCCAGGCCCAAGCTCTCTGACATGTTAACATCCATTTTCCATAGAGCAAAGGACATTCGCCTAGATGTGAGGGTGCCCTGCTGCACTCAGTGTTGGGACTACAGACCAGAGAGGCCACACTCAGACCAGATGGAAAATAGGCACTCAGGAATGAGAGCTATGACATATTTTCCTCAAAGGCCACTAAATTCATCATTATTTCCATCTTTCACAGGTTCCCTGTTTGGTCAGCAACAGCACCTATCATAAGAGGTGGGGAATGCTGGCTTCCATTCCCAACTCTCATTCCTTCATTTTGTGCTCTATTTCTACAGTTGTATGGGAACTGCTAAGTCACGGCCTGAACCTCTGATTGATCACCTGAGGCGAGCCATGAGTCAGCCAGAGGAGCACAGCTGAAGGCAATTCACCTGTGCTGCCGGAAGGGGTGGAGCCAGGCTCCACTCCTCCTAAACCTATTTAAGAGCTGGCTACCAGAGGGGAAGGATCTCTTCTGGAGATCACCTCTCTTGGTGTTTTCTGGTGAGCCCAGCTGAAGGGTAAGCTCTTCCACTTATTCTCTTTTTGTTATCGTTGTCTACTTTGCCTAACTCTCTTGATTATGTTGTGATTATAACATCTTGATATCTATTGATTATACAACAGTTAAGTGTGCTTTGTTGTTTCCAGCTCTTCGAAGTTGTGAAGGCAATGTCACGTCCATTTTTAAGAAGGGTAGAAAGCACAACTCAGGGAACTACACACCTTTTAGCCTCGCCTCAGTGCAGGGGAAGATCATGGAGAAGATCCTCCTGGAAGCTAAGCATATGGAAGAGAGAGAGGTGATATAGGATAACCAGCATGGCTTCGTCAAGGGCATCAACTTAGTGCCTTTCTTTGATGACACAACTCAGGCATGTCCAACCTGTGGCCAGCAATGACCAAACATCAGTATGTGATCAGCACTGTTTGAGCTGAAACTGGGACACAGGGAAGGCACATCACAGTACTAACTCAATTTGTGGCAAATCATAGAATCACAGAATCTTAGAATCATAGAATCGTAGAATGGCCTGGATTGAAAAGGACCTCAAAGATCATCTAGTTTCAACCCCCCTAACAGGAGCAGAATCACCAACCACTAGACCAGGTTGTATGAACTTTATGCATTTTGTTACATTGGCTAAACACAGTCTTGTGACCATACAGCTCTGCTTTCTGTTTTGCTAAAGGAATTTGAGAATAGACTGTAAATAAGAAAGAAAAGAAAAAGGTATATTTGCAGTTCTATTTTCGTATGACATAAATACGCTACCTATGAATTTTCAAATGGAATGTTTAGAGTTGCAATCAGACAGTCCACTTAAAGATCTGATTGCATCTCTTTACTAGACTCACTGTAAGACCTCTCTTACTAGAGAAAAACATCTCTCACTTCACATCCATGCCTTATTCATGTCATCACTATTTGGTAGTATGTGCCAAATACGTTTGTGAACAATTCTTACAAAGGATGAAGTATAAGAGTAAAATTTCACAAAAATCTCTGATGAACACTTTGAGAATTCACTAAGAATTGCATCTACTTCCATTGAACCAGATAGGTACACTAGTTTGACAAAATAAAGTCAAATAGCCTGCTAGCTTTATGGTTCTTGTGCCCTTTTCTTTTTTTGAATAAAAATACTAAAGAATAAAATCATTTTGTTACTTATATACATTGACTATATAACATAGTCTATGAGGTCTGCTCTGAAAATAATGCCTCCTATTTTGTCATGTTAGCCCATGATATCAGAGGCAGTTAGTGGTATAGTAGTAGAGATTGAACCTTCTCACCAATATCCCATTATATTTTGTTGCTGTGTTTCAGATGGCAGTGGAAAGGCAGTTTGGTGACTAACATGGAAGTGTATAGGAAGAAAAGATTTTTCATTGAATTCCTCCATGCTGAAAAAATGGCAGTTGAGTGGGTGCCATTCTTTGATGTTTGCTGAATGCCTGTGGAGACCAGACTGTGGATATGTGAATTGGTGGGTGGTGCATTTCAGCAGTGGCGACAGCGACAGTGGGTCACCTCCATCAGAGCAGGTTTTAATGAGTGGTATGCAGACTCTTGCTCATTGCTGGCAAAAATGTGTATCTAATGGTGGTGGCTATGCTGAAAAAGTGTTCTGCAGTTGAGAATTTGCTCTATCAAATGGTGTTATTGTGCTCTTTGTATTGGTTGTAAATTCCATGGGGGCATTTATTTTAATGTAGCCTACATATACATGGCCCACAAGACAATACCTCTCTGAAAGACTGGATACCCATGGCATAACTGCACCAATGGACAAGAGAAGAACCACTGATGTAGCCTGTCTGATCTTCAGTAAGATCTTTGACATGGTGCCTCACAACATCCTTCTCTCCAAATTGGA